TGTGATACTTTGCAAGTAATTTACAACAGATCTGGATACATTTTTCAGTGAAGAAGCACAATTTCTGACTCTGTCATAAAAGCATGAAGTCAATCTGCATTAGGGAATGACTGGTGTAAAAGTTGTCTCTAAAATGGCATAGAAAGTGTAGTTCCATATTGCAAAATCAAGTCCATCTGTTCCGAGACCAGGGTCTAAATCTAGAGACTGTATGACCGAGGAATACCTCACAAGCTGAAACTTTTCACAAAGAAAATTATTTCAATTTGAAAGAATTTCTCTTGTTAGTTGTCTTGACAATCACTGGCGCCAGTTTTGTCCTGCGATTGAGTGCAACAGCTGCAGACATTCAATTTAGGCCAAAAATTTTCTTTTTTGAACATTATTTTTGGAGCGAATAAAGTAAAGTTATTCTTGACCGAAGACTAGCACTTCTAGAATTTTAAGACTCAATTATAGTTATTTTTTTTTAATTTATAGGGATGTGCCGCAATTTTTTGCATAACCACAAACGAAAACAAAAATGCATTTCTCTGCAAAAAAAAGTCTCTTGGATCCAGAGTCCAAACTCTTAAAAAAATTGACACGAAAAATTGTTCTTTACTCGATCGGATTTCCGCTTAAATCGAGAGCCAAGCACTGGAAAAAAAAATACATTGGATCTAGAGTCCAGACTCTTGAAAACATTGACAAGAAAAAGGACTCTTGATTCAATCAGATTTAAGCTTAAATCAAAAGGAACTCCGCTCAAATTAAGAGGCTTGGTTCTTGATTTAAGCTTAAATCTGATGGAAACAAGAGTTCTTTTTCTTGTCGATGTATTTAAGAGTCTAGACTCTAGATCCAATGTGGTTTTTTTTCCCAGTGAGCTTCATAATTTAAGCGGATTTCCTTTTAATTCAAGTAAAAATCCGATTGAATCAAGCGTATTTTCCTTTGCCAAATTGTCTAAGAGTCCGGACTCTGGATCCAAGAGACCCTTTACTCCAAAGATAATTTTTCTCCAGAATCTTCAATCCATTCGACAACCACGCATACAGCGACCCCCGGCGTGCGCACGGAGGAAAACGTAAGTGAAGGTGTCCGATGTCAAACTAGTTTTATTTCGGTTTCGCTCTTTCCGGCGCGGTGCGGCGCGGCGGTTTGACACGCATCCGAAAGTCCGGAGCACAAGCCCGGCTCTTACGACAATGCACGCTCTATTTCTCGGACGCGGCTAATCTCGGAACCCGTCAAATTATCCGGTGTCGCTTCCTAATTAGTGTGCAACGGCCGGCTCGTGTGCGCTTGCGCAGCGATGAAAAGTCGAGAGCAGGCGCTGATGAGTGGCCGAGTGGAGAACGTCAACCTGACGTCAACTCAGCATGACGTCACACGTCGGTGTCCTAGTGCGGTACCGAAGCAGAATTTTTGCCCCGAAAGGGAGGACCAGTCTTAGCTCCGATGTAACGTGCTACTGCTTGTCAACCTCAGTTTAATGGACTCGAGTCTTGAGACTCTAAATATATGTCACATAAAGATGTATTTGAGAAAGAAAGAACAAAAAGCAGAAGGAACATAGGAGGAAGATAATACTGCTTGATCAATACTGCTTGATAGCCTTAGTCTAACGGACTCGCAACTCAGGACTCTACATATGTGTCACATGAAAACACATCGTCGCTCCTCTGGCGTAAGGGCGTATCTCGATTTTTGGACATTTTGAGTTAGGCATGTATTCTTATGTAGTTTGAGCTGCTCTTTCGATCTAGCCTACTCTCAGGTCCGAATTCCCAATAGTTAATGACTTATGGCCATAAAACTGAAGGGCGTAACTCGCCATTGCCGAAAAAAGGACGCGACGTAAGGGCGTATCTCTGTAGACGCGGCGCTGCACCCCTACGACGAGCCGCTTCTCGGCATTGAGTATCTCATATGCCCGTCGTACAACGTGTCCGGTGACGGCGGGTTTTCAATTATATCTTAAGGAAACTTTTTGACTTGATATCATTACTATAACTTACATTTCTATAAAAGTATCAAATCACAGATCTCAAGCATGGAGTTCGCAATGCTGATTCAATTTATGCTAAGCTAGAACGTTCAAATTGAATTCGCATGTGCCGTCTACAGGCGAACGTCTGTTTCAGTGTGATACTTGCTCTCTCAAAATAATAATATTTTCACAAATTAATGCAAGTGGCAATCCTGCATATTACTGGTCATCTCCGCTTTTGTACGGACGGGTTTTCCCAGGCCGCCACTCAGGTGCTCGCTGCATCCTTTCAATCGTCGCAGAGGTAAGGCAGGGTCAAAGAAATAACCCTTAAGCACCCCAGCCTCTGTAGCTTTTAGAATGTGGTTTTCTGCCTCATTACACCCATCAACGCACAAGTGGGAGAAACAGGTGGAAGGAAAGCCTACACTGACCATTCAAATATGATTTCCTCGGAACAGCTCAATGCAGGGCCGGAGAGTTGGTAGCCAAGCCGTCGTCGGCCGTGGGAAGAGAAAGTTGGGTCTATCTTTTGATTTCAAATATTTGACACCCTGTTCGTTCATCTGGAAAATGACCAACAATATTGTGATCTCGGAAGACAAACTGGAGACGGGTCCTTTGTCGAAAAATTCTTGCTCCGTGCCAGCCGGTGGCAGCCAAGCTCTCGCCACCTCTCTTTTCAGTCTTTTATTGCAAAAATTCGTGGTAATTGGGTAACCTAAAAACCTCAAGTAGGCAGAATTTTCTGAAGGAGGATGAGAGGAGGGGCATTCCTACTCAAACTCGTAAGTGGTCACTGACTCTTAGGGTCAGTCTTAAACTCTTCGCGACTTTGAAACGGCCTCCGGATTACGGGTGATGAACTTGTGAATAATTTGACTGTCGACATGGATGTGCTTGTGGAATGGACCAACGGGACTAAAAACGTTGTAAGTTCGGCTGAATCGGAGGCGATTCCTCCGGCGAAAACTCTAAGCTTAACAACCGGCTCTCGCGTTCGGATGAACTATAAAGGAAAGTATTATCCTGGTACTGTTGTTGCTACCGAAGATGATGAGGAATCTCTAAATTTGAGTACGTATCATCAAAACTCTTCGGACTCCGATGATGATTTACCACTCGCGAATTTTGCCGTTTTTGATAAGAAAAATAAATCGTGCCACAATTCCGAATCTCCGAGCCGCGAAAATATTTTAGAGAATAGTTGTTTGTCGGAAAAATCTCCAAGTAGTGTGCAAGATGAAATCGCGAATCGTCCTGATAGCAGCGAGCCAATACCGTGTGTTGTGTGTGGCAGGGAAATATTCGCCGCTTGTGTTAATTGTTCTGCAGTAGTGTGTTACGATCATTTTTTCGAGGAAAATGTTGATTGTGCTGAAGAGCATATTAGTTTAGCAATCATTCGTTCAAATCTAGAAAATAATCTTCCTGCTAATAGTGAGCCAGAATCGTGTGTCGTATGTGGCAGAGAAAAATTCGAAAAGTGCGGTATTTGTTCTGCAGTATTGTGTTTCGATCACGCTTTTGAGGAAAATGTTGATTGTGCTGAAGTGCATCTTAATAAAAATCTTAATAACATTAATAAAAAAATAAGGCAATTAATACAATGGGTAAACGCATTTTTCTTCTTCTTCTTTTTTTTTTAATCAACTCTTCTGAATACATGATTTTAAATTGTATTAGGGGTTCGTTGGCAAATAGGTTTTTAAAATTCGAAAACGAGTTGAAACTAATATCAAGCGTTAGCCGTGAGCTCTGCGGCATCAAGACAGGGGCGTAACTAGTTGCTGCGCGCGGAAACGGGTTTGACGTAAGGGCGTATCTTGGCATATTTCTTTAAACTCGTCTTAAACCTCTTTAAAAATCAATAATGATACAAAAATTTGACATATCATGAATCCTGACCTTTTTTCCTATAAACCAATGAAAAAATGATCACCGTAGGTTGAATAGCTAAACGATGGCACGCAAAAGAAGATAGCGAAAATCTTATTTTCGCTCTCCTGAAAAGTAGCGAAAAACGAGATACGCCCTTACGTCAGAGGAGCGACGACATTTGAGAAAGGAAGAACAAGAAACAGAAAGAAAATAGGAGGACAAATTATGAGGAACAATAATAAGAGAGAGAAAAGGGAAGGAATGCAGAAGAGGAAAGGGAAGACTAATAACAGGATGAGAGGGTTGAAAAAGGAGATGAGGAAGACAACTGAATAAGAGGTAGAGAAAAATGAAGAAGAGAATTATGAGGAACAAAAAGAGGAGGGAGAAAAAGGAAGGAGAAGAAAAATGACAGGAAGAGAGAGACAAAAAAAGAAATGAGGAAGAAGTCTAAATAAGAGGTGGAGGAGGAAGAAGAAGAGGATAGGTAAGGAGATGAAAATCATAGAAAGGAGGAGAAAAGAGAAGATTAAGAAAAGATGGATAGAGTAAATGGAAAAGAGGAAACAGAAAAAGAAAATTCCTGCTTCTTTCCCTCTTTATTTTTTCTCATTTTTATCCTTATAAAAATTCCACGCAGACCGCGCTTTACAAGTTTTTATGTAAAAAATCTACTAATATAGAAGAAATTAATTTCCATGGTTTACATTAGAATCCTTTTTGAGCCTCCCTCAAAACGGACATCAAAAGTAATGCTGCCCTTCAAAAATCATGGTGATGGACATCTTCCACTGTGGTAGTGCTTTATGACATATTTTCTACGAGTACTTGAGTTCATCAGTGTTTTTTTGGGAGCAACTAGTACAAATTTGTGCAACTTTGATTGATAGTAATGATATCAAGATAGAGAATATCTCGTCAGTACATTTCTTGCGTTAATGATGTCAATCAGCTCCATATGTTTGAAGAGTAACATCTCTGCTCACATTTGATGTAAAAACTTCTCGCTGAGGCAGAATTTATTATTTTCAAATATTAAATTAAACTAATTTGATAGATTGTGCAGAAGTTCCGTAGAAGGAGTTGAATGAACTTTCACAGAAAATTCAAAGCGGTGAAATTTTGTATTGAAATTCATTCTTACATGGTGGTAGTGATGGTCATCGTGGTGCTCTTCATGATGGCCGCCTCCGTATCCGTGGAAGTCGTACTGCGCTTTCACAACAACGAAAAGGGTGACTGAAACGGCGAATAACTGCATTGTCTGTCATGAACAAAACGAAAAAAGTTTGTTTTAGAGAAATATCAGTGAAAGTGACAATACAGGTGTGAGATTTGGACATTTTTGCCGCAGTCATATCAGCATATTAACCCTCTATGACATGAATTAATTTAGGATCTCAAATTCTAGGGTACACTAATCTATTTTGTATAGTTTGCATAAAAAATAAAGTACCGACTTTTTTCAAAACTTTAAAGTTAAGGGAATAGATTTTCCAAAAAAAGAATAAACTAATGAAATTTTGCAAAATCTTGGTACAGGGGAAGATTAAATTTTTAAAAACTCCGAAAATACGTTGTTACGAATTCGCAAGACTATGCCATAGAGGATAAAGCTTTTACTGAAAGAAGATTTTCACACTGGCATCGCCATTATAGCCTAGTTCTTGATGGTGCGAGATGCAGAAACATTTATTCCAGTCAAATATTGGCGGCAAAGGGAGCGAAAATTTCTGAAGATTGAGCCTTTTAAAAATTTGAAAAATTCCCTACAATCGATCAGCATTTTTCGATACGAAAAGAAAATGCATCCCTTCTACCAGACTGTGATTAAGGGAATCCAATGAAACGTTGTTTCTCATCAATGGAGAAATTCGATTCTTGCAATTAAGGTCCGGAATGTAATTTGAACATTTTTTTCTCCGAGTAGAACATGATCCAATCTATAAACGTACCAAATATCTATAATAAGCATAGCCAGATTTGTTAATCCGTAGGAAACGCTACCTTAACGCCAAAGAATTTGAAATTGAGCCATCGATCCTGTAGTTGAGAGGTTTTTTTATGATATTTTGGCGCGGAAAGCTGAAAAATATTAAGTAGAATAATAGTCAAGATAATTTGAAGTTTGCAATCCCTTTGCACGTAGTTTTTAGCAAAAGTGACCACAAGAGTTTGTAAACTTAATAGAGAAGGAAGTGGCTTTTTTGTATTATGTTGCGATTTACCGAGTTTGGTTTATGAATTAAAATATGTCATTATTTCATTAAAAAGCTTCAAGTAAGCAATCGTCTCCAAGATCAATTATAATGTACTGTTAGTGAGAAACATTTTAGCTTTGTCTATGTTACCTCCTCGCCTTTGGCAGAGTATCTGCAAAGGACCTTTGAGCCCCCTCCCTCTTCATCCCATCTAATTCACTAAGGGGTCCTTCAGAAGTAGCCGACCAGTTGAGATAAGTGATAAATAAAATTATCTCGAGGAATTAAAATAATCTTATGAGTTTCTGGTTTAGATGTACACCTAGCTCCTGTTTAACTCAGTTGAAGTCAAACTAGCTCCAACTTCCTAGCTTAGATCATGACCCCTCTCTTCGTTCTGCCGCGACGTATGTCCGGTGTGTGAATGACACCTGATTTATATGAACCTCTGTTGAATGATCGCGGTGTTGCCAAATATGGGAGTTAATTCGGTCTTCCAGAGAGAGCAACTTTATAATGGGTCTAGAGGTGCCCGATTCTTATTTAATACTAGGCAGCATGGTAAATGAGCGTTGCATCACTTGGCGGCAAAGCCACGCGACATGTCCATGTCCGACAGCCACGTGCAGCTTTTTGCCTTTTCCAGTTTCACTGGAAGTGTGCCTAGATTATCACTCAATTTGCAGTTATGAAATAAAGTAGAGCAGTACCAACGCATCCGTTTTTTAATGTGAGAATTTAAATCAAGAAGTTTTAAACGGCAAATATAGATACCTAAAATTAGTTATCACTGTAAATATCGCCGTATGTCTATCATTTTCTACGGAAAAATGTGACGAACGTTTAGGAATTTCCCTGGAAAATCATCCATATTTCGTAAGCTACATGTTAAATAATGACTTCATGAAGATATTTACGTTACTTGCGATACTTGTGTTACTTTTTTTAAATTTGTTTTTATTACTTAATATAAACCACACGCTATCGTGAAAGATTACCTAGCACAACTACAATGCAAGCCTCCATCGCAGTATCTGTTACAATTTAAGTTCAATTTAAATCGCCTGATAATGCTTTAGAAAAGTTTCATTCAACTGTACTTTATGATTTTTTAAAATGATTTTTATCCTAGGTTGAGAAGAAAATGATGAAACTCAATGGTGAATTAGCAATGACCTTTTAAAGACTCGAGACTGGTAAATAATAAGGCTAACTGGACACTCAATTCTTTAAATTGCGATCTGAAGAAATGGAAGAGGACTAGGGTAGAGAGAAAAGTTCCTCACTGACCGACTAAGTATAGACATATGACAGCAATAAAAAAGTAAGAGTGGTCATCAAAGAATAATCTTTCTTTGCAAAGACCGGGTACTTAATCCCACCATTCCGGGGCACTGCAAGACGATTTGTTAGAACCTGTCCCTAGCTTTGAGACGTCACCTTGCATTCAAGTCACTATCACAGTGGAAGCTTTATCTTTGCTGTAACGGTGCCTTCCGGTTCTCACCTCTTCATTATTATACACTTTTACTTGCATTGTTGCTCTGATTTTTTCTCCTGCCCATTTGCTTTTCAACTACGAGAGCAATCTCTTTCCGTCATCTGATCTGATGTATCCTTATCCCTGCTGAAATCTAGGATATTAACTCTTCCTTACTAGAAATGAAAATTAATCCTCAAAAAATGGACGCAAATATTTTTCTGGGTTTACAGAATAGCCCTACGTAACCCTCCATGGCATGAATTAATTTTATGGATCTCAGATTCTAAGGGGCAATGATCCACTTTGTAGCTTGCATTAAAAAAAAAAATAGAGTACCAACTTTTTTTCCAAAATTTGAAAGTAAGGGAATCAATTTTTCAAAAAAAGAAAAAACTAATGAAATTTTGCAAAATCATGGCACATGGAAAAGATTCAATTTTTTAAAAACCCCGAAAATACGCTGTAACGAATTCGTAACACTATGCCAAATAGGGTTGAAATAAATGGGACTATTTTCAATTAATTACATTTTGAGATCCGGAAGCCTATACTTTAGAATTTGTTGTCAGTAATTTAAGTGGAATAGTTGGAAGTTAGAGTGTAGTATTCCTCTTCCTGAGCTGATCTTTTAATTACTAACTTGCAGTGCTGGGCCAATTGTTTATTGACGTTGATCCAGAATAATCGATTACGTGTGTCTATTCGAAGCTGAGTGAAACCGTGGGGGCGGATGTCCGCAAAGGCAGCCATTTATCTTAGCAGACAGTCTAGACAGCCGTTCATAGAGTAGTTAGCAACCCAGAGCAATCAATGCGGCGCGGCGCACAGTTAAAAAATGGGAGACGAGCATTGACTTTTTTCTATCGTGTTGATCAATATGCATTAAAAAATATGAAGAACACCGTAGTTCTGAAAGTTAGTGTTTCATTGAGTGCGCACTATTTCAATGATATCGAATGTTAAGAGAACACCGAAAGTTCTTCAATGTAGGATGATCCAAAAGTCCCACACCCCCCCTCTAAGGGGCCTTTCAAGTATAACGTGAGGCACTTGGGGGGGAGGGGGTCAAGCCGAGTCTTACGTAAGCTTTCCGCTGTAAGAAAAAACATCCTCAAAAGTCCCCGAAAGGCCCTAATTTTGGTTTTTTATAACCGATTCTTTTTTTGCCGATTTTCATCAAAATACCTAATCCTTTAATTAATTTATTCCAGCTATTTTACCAGGCTTTTTCCTTTTTTCTTGGGAAAATGGGGGGGGGGGTCCAAATTAGTTTTTCCTCCATTTAAAATCATTGAAAATATCAATTTTAGGTGAGGCAAACCGTCTCACCGAGGATCGATTGTTTTATATGCATTTAAATGGAGGGAAAGCATTGTTGCCAACTTTCAAGAATTACCACTGCCTGCATCCAGGGCCATGCAGGGCTTTTGTGCGGCGGGGGCGGATAGAAGCGGGTGGCGATTTGCGTTTTGCGAATTCACTTTCCTCGCGGCGAAGAGCGATGCGGCGCTGAGTTTCTCTCGAGTTTCTAGTCAAGCGCAAAAGCTCCCGTGTCCCGCCCAGCGCGTGTTCCTCGCTCTCAACAGCTTTTCAAAATTTGAATCCGTCGGCTCATCTCCCGTGACGCACGCGATTCTTCAGCGAGGTTGCCAAGTTGCCTAAAGCCCACTCTTATTTTGTCATTTCCTTGACGAAAGAATTACTTTCTTTTGAAGGAATTTTATTTAAATATTACGTAACTACCCCCAAGTATTTCCTTGTATCTATCTACATGGTTTAAAACTAAAACTAAACAAACACTAGAAAAAAAAAACACATTGGATCTAGAGTCCAGACTTTTGAAAACATCGACAAGAAAAAAGACTCTTGATTCAATCAGAGTTAAGCCTAAATCAAAAGGAAATCCGCTCAAATTAAGAGACTTGGTTCTTGATTTAAGCTTAAATCTGATTGAATCAAGAGTACTTTTTCTTGTCGATGTTTTTAAGAGTCTGGACTCTAGATCCAATTTGTTTTTTTTCCAGTGTAACGTAACGACCTCCAAGTATTTCCTTTTATCTATCTACATGGTTTAAAACTAAAACTAAACAAATTGCATTAAATTCATAGGGTAACGTTATAGATAATTCGATGATTATCTAAAAGAAAACAGGAATTGTGAAATTCTTTGCTTTTTTTTAGAGATATAGAATTAAACTGAATTCAAACATCGCGAAATTTTCTCTTGCACATCGTATTGTAAGTAAGAAACTGTTGGGCTTTACTAGCGGACATTTTAACTGCTTTAACTTCTGATTACTCGAAAAAATCTGAAACATTTTAGACGGTAAAATACACAGATATATTCTGGGGAAAAATTGATTGGTTTAAGTCGATTTTGTAACCTTGGAATGGAATCACGTTCCTTTGTCCGAAGATCAACGCACATTCCAATTTCATCAGGAAAATAATAAAAAAGAATACACACAATACGCGTATGGCTTAATAAGAAAAAATTTAGTTTTTATAAGTCTTACAGATTTTGAATTTGTATCTTCATTACTGAAAATTTTCCTTAGCAAAACTAGATCCAGAAAAATAATCTCTTATTTTATAACTCTTCATCAGGTCGATTTTAAATGTCGTCCGTTTCATCTGAGATCTGTTTTTTTCCCTCAGCTCAAGTAAAAAAGACTACTGTTGTATGAACCTTGTCAGATACGCACCACGTCACATATAACTTGCAGTGGGGAAAAAAGAGTTGGGAACAATTTTGAATTAAAATAATCGTATTTTTTTTTCGAAAAATTAAAATTGAGAAAACACATTCTCAAAGTTCAAATAGTCATCTTTGTCCCTTACCCTGAGTCTGATGGAGTCTGTAAACTCAAATCTTTCTTTCTCTGTCAAAATCAATGTGCCTTTGTGCGTTTCTATTAAACCCGGTCCATATGCGTACCTACAATGGGTTAAATGATATTTAATGTCAATTTTGTAACTATGTTTCAGCACTATGTGATCGTAACACCGGCTGAGCATCAGCAGGTTAGTATCTATTGGACGTATTTCTGCCAAACGGAACTATGTGCATTATGACGTGAGCCCTGTTATGCATATATTCTTATGGGTCCCAGGGCTCATGTCTTAATGCACATTGTTCCGTTTGGCAGAAATACGTCCTATCATCAGTTTGCTATTGATAACTAATAGCGATTAATAAGATAGCGTCAAGGAAAAAGGCGGAAAACTCTTGCATTGATTTCACGGTGTATGCCTTCGTATTTTACTACATCTTTAATCCGTCTACCTACATAAAGGGAAGTACAAATTTGGGACGCATTTTACTCACTAATACAATAACTAAAAGGATCAGTGAGAATAATCAATCTAATTTCAATCTAATTACAGTTCCTGATGAGATTACCGTGTGGTTATTTTTTCTATGTCTGCGTTAAAGTCTTCAAGGGTTATCAAACTTTTACGAGTGGCGTGGCGAACTTTGCGATGAATCGATTGATCTGCCATTTAAGTCTATGGAAAAAGATCCATAAACAGGGTGTCCGCAACGACCACCTTTATAATCTATTCTTTGCCATAGCCTCAAATGGGGAAATATCGATATATTCTACCATTCACGCCTCGCCACTAAGTGTAACTTATTTGTATGTGTGATCAGTAAGGCAACGCAGTGTATATAAGCAAACGCTCTGAGCAGTCATCAATCCTGAATACCCAATGGGTAATTGCAAGGAGAAGGGCGCGTAGTTACACTGAAAGTTTCATCGATCGGAATCAGTAATCGACCGGTAAGATAACTGGGTCCGGTCATGATTTTTTCCTCCTTTTTTTGAGTATACCGGAACACTGATGTGGGAGTTATACGGCCCTGTTGTCAAACTGATCAAAGAAATTATAATTCCAGCTTCCGATCCCAATTGAATTGTTGAAACTAAACGAGGGACGCTAAAATTCGTGGAATTGGTGTAGGGGCTCCCCTTCAGATCGAATGGAACCTACGTAAAATACTCGTAACAATGTCTAAACCTTTTCCTTGCTTTCAATTAGAATAAACGTATACGTACATTGCTATTCCGTGACGTACACGGAGAAACAAACTTCGTGCGTGGGACCCGAAGTTTAGGTCATATGGATCTCTGAAGTTTTTGGATTGAGCATCTGAACACTTTAGGTTCAGCTACTGAAGTTTGGATCACACATCTGAAACTTCAGTTCTTACATCTGAAGTACTTCGGTTTTCACATCCGAAAAACTTCGGTTCTCACATCCGAAAAACTTTGGTTCTCACATCTGAAGTACTTTAGATGTAAGAACTGAAGTTTCAGATGTGTGATCCGAACCTCGACAGCTAGACCTAAAGTGTTCAGATGTTCAATCCGAAAACTTCAGAGATCCATATGACCATAACTTCGGGTCCCACGCACGAGGTTTTTTTCTCCGTGTAGCATTGGAAACGTGCATAGTGCCGGCAACACAGTAACATACGGGGAAGCAGGAACCGGTACTCTGCCGTGATAGCGAAGACAGCAGTAAGTGCATGCTGGAATGAACCTCGAGACACATAAAAGCATGTGCTAATCGTGGCTCTTACAGGAACGCACTTACTGCTCTGTTCGCTATAACGGCAGTACTGTCTGTGCCCTGGACGGAGACCGGTAAAGGCTTCCGATAGGTTTACGTCGCCATATTGGGAGTTACGTCTATACCGCGATAGGGAAATTTAGAGTCCTTTAACACTGAGAGTCAAGACAACACCCCCTCATGGAGTCACAAACGGGAATAAAGATTACAGAAATTGAACGTTTTTCGTAATCTTTAATCGGCCCATTCTCATATTCCTTTCTCCGTGCCTTCTCTCATTCCGTTTGTTCCGTTCCGTAATTCCCTGGTCCATTCCAGATTTTAATCTTTGCAATCGGAGAAAATGTAATCTTTATTCCCGTTTGTGACACTGTGAAGGCCTAAAATACGGGAACCAATCAGAAATGGATTCACATGTCTTGACTCTTAGTATAAAGGGACTCAAGGGAAATTAAGGATTCGCGCGCGAAATTTGGCAATGACTGACCGGAGATGTGTTTCGGATCGTAATAACTCGGAATTAATAACTCCGTAAGGGCCATTGTTGAGACGCAGGAAAATTGCGTGTGATGTAAACCGGGCCAGGCCTTCAATTGCCCTCCGCCGGTTGAGATGAGCGCGGATTCACGGTGTGGAGATGTTGGGTAAGGCCCTCGGGTATAATTTCAGGAAAGAGTAACCGTTGCAAGAACCGGAGGGTCCGTCGTAAATTCGTCGCTTGGCTGACATAAGGGCGTAACTACACTTTGAAATGAGCCCGGAAAAACATTTAATTGCATGGAGGACAGGGTTCAATGAAGAGTGTAGTTACGCCCTTATGTCAGGTAGACGACGAATTAAGGGAGCTCCGGTTTTTGTAATGGGTCTGCGTGAAGTTCTCCTCCGAAATGGTTCTGGTTGCTCAAAAGTTTGATTTTTAAAATACCGTTAGGACCTACTGAGACTCACATATAAGATGGAAAAGTGAAGGGTGTCTGATTGGGGCCATTTGTTGCAACTTACTTAGTTAGTATGAATAAACCATCAACAATGGTACCGTAACTGTTCTTGCGTTTTTGTCTGAAATATGAGCACTTGAAAAATTCAGGTCCTAAATTGCTTCCGAATTAACCATAATATTTGCAAAATTAACCCTTTGAGTGAGGAAAACAATATTCAATTTTTTTCTTTAAAGAAAAATTTAAAAAGTTAACTTGTGTCCAAACTTTCAACCATGTTTCAATTTCAAATCAAGCTACAGCAAGAGAGGATACTGGACAAATTTGGAATTAGGTTTCGATGTAACCAGTGCAAATAGGTTATAGTATTCAAAATTGTAAATGCGCTTGAACATTTCATACTTCACGTGCTGAGCGCTTGACATTTTCACTTAATTTTTGAAGAGTTATATTTACACAAGTTTAAAAAACACTGACGGTATGATAATCTCACCTAACGATTTTCTATGCATCTTATACTGTCACTCTTTTTTCTTTCTTAATGTTTTGCATTTCTCATTTTTCATGATTAAATGGTAAAAAAGTAAGTTTAATATCATAGATCATGAAAGTGCACGCATTTTCATGAAAATAACTTTTCAATCCTCTTTCATGGCTATTGTTCTCAAAACTAGGATGACTTAAAAAAACAATTTTTTTGAGCACTTAGAAAGAATTTACTATACCTGTTTCCTGGAATCGCGCATTATAGTGTATAGTTAATAATATTTAAGAAACTTTGAATAAAATACTTTATCTGCACAATTTACGTTTTCCTTTGTTATTTAGGAGTGCTCATTGGAGTGTTTACAATTGAATTTTTCGAATAAGGATGCGTTTTAGCCTCTCAACTTTCAAAGCATTACTAGAAAACCGAGATCCCATTCTTTATACTCTTGTATTACAAATTTTTGAGCGAATTACGTAACCATTAGTGATGCTTTCATCGTGTATAGTTAGCCAAAGTCTAAGATTTCAGTGAAGCGGTTGAAAAAAATCGAAATGAGTGTCATTTTTCTTTATCAAAAATGGACTTTTAAAAACGAAGGCAAAAACTCTTCTCAGTCGCACTAAAAAACTCGACTTAGAATATTTCCAAAAATTGTTTTAATACAGTCTTAAAATTAGACTAAAGCAGGACTTTCACAACTCCAAGATCGATCGTTGAAAGGCGTTTCAACTTTTAGTTTCCTGAAAATGGCCCAAATTGTAGGCATTTAAATGCAACTAAGGAGCTTTTAAAGAAGGTTTTAGTGATGGCTTTTAAAAAACAATTTAGACTCTCATTATCGCTTTGAAAATAAAATCCAAAAAAGGAGAGATGAAAGTATAACACTTAGGAAAAAACTTTGGTTACAAAGACTGAACTGCGGCTTATATTGAACGACAAATTTTTCCGGTTCTGACAACCAAAGTTTTTGGTCAAAGGAACCTAATTCCAATATAGAAGATCATCTGCATTTAATCAAAAGTTGTATTCATTACTGATAAAATTCTTCTTTAAAACCGATTTCATATCGACAAAAAATATTATACTCTCTAAGAATCAAATAGCCTCTATAATTTCACAATATTATCAATTTGAAATCTAACAATAATTTCATTATTTATACGATGGGATGTCTTTACATATTTTTTGACACAAGGAGATAATTATTATTCAGATAAAAAAAATTAAAAGAAAAAAAAAATCATAATTAAAATGGGATCCTATTTTTAAAATTTTTAGCCAATACTTTTCTATTGAGTGAATTTGAATTTTTTTTCTTTTTCACACACAGGATTTTAAGATGAATCCTATCTTTTATTCCTTATTGTGACTTTGGTCCCCTGCCCCGTGAAACTTTAGTGGCAAAAATGAACCGAAGTTCTTTTCTCCATGAAAAACGACCAAAAATCACTTAAAAAAATCACAGTCCAAAATTGTCGAGATCACGAACAATTACCTTGGTGGTCTGCATATTGCTGGTCTTAATTAGTAGGATCGGCTGTAAACACTTCACTACGAAATGGACTGACGGACACGCGCCGGGTAATTCACTGGTTGATTGTGGTGCCGGCTTCAGGGCGCCCCCCGGTTTTATAAACCACGTCCACTTTCCTTCCCGGCCCCCCTCCCCCTCCCCTGACGGCGGCGTCTAGGTGAGAGTTATTTGGCTAATGAGCTTTGATGCTTTAATTATTTGATAATCGGACCAATCGGGTAGACGTTCTGTCAACCCCCACTCCAAGGTTACAGGATTACAGGATGGTTACAGACCACGGACCGCTACAAAAAAGTGACCGATTTTTTTCATGTCCACTACTGTACTTCGTAGCATTGACTGTTAAATTTCGACTGTAAAAAACGTAAACAAATGTTTAAAAAGAACGAGGAAAAAACCTTACTGCTCCTTTTCAAGTAAAAGTTTCCTTTTAAATGAGTTTTCTCTTTGAAATGTACAATTTTCTCAACTTTTTTTCAACATCCGATGCTACTGAATGCTATAAAAATTCACCGAGTGGACTTTAAATGTGCTGAGAATATTTCATACAAAAACAAAAGTTAATTTATTGTTTTTTTTTTAAAAATAAATTAACAAAAAAAATAATAATATTAAAATACCTATTAGAAATGAATAAGGATTTTTCATTTAGTGGCAAAATGAATCTTTTTGATTCCAATTGCACCAATTTTCCCACACTTTAAACCAGAAGTTGAATATTCCAAAATGTTTCCTATTTTCATCACAAAAAAGTCTGAATACAATTGAAGATGTCTGATTCAAATACATGCATGTTGCCTGTATAAAAATATTAGATCGAACGCATTTCATATCCTTGTTCTCACAATCTCTATATGTTTCCACGAACTTACAGCTTCTTATGAATTATTAATGTAGATAGATTCTCCTTACAATATTTTCTTTATACCCATGCTCACTCTAGGAGTTGTTTAAAAATGTATCACTCGTATCAGCCGCCATCACACGTATTGAAGGGGTCTTCATTCAGGCTTCAATCGCAAAGTTATGGATTCAGTAATTTGCGATCCAGTGTCATCGACTTTACAGATATAGAGCTGAAGTATATAAAATAATATAATAATTCATAACTTAAAATGAATCGACTGTCCAATATCACCCTTGAGGTCCTTAAGTCCCGCTTGGTAAGGGGCAAATTTATTTTTTAAGACAATACATATATCACCACCTCTTTTCTCTTTAATAAAAGTTTTGGAAAATCATGCCGAGGTTATTCGATAATTTGAGATACTCAAAAAATTGATAATTTAAGGCTCTTACTTTAATAGTCAGTATGACCAAATCGAATTCCGTTCCCCTGTTGCGTCTTTTGCGCTTGCATCATTTCTTTTTTAATATTTTTACCGTCTGCTTTTGATTCTATATTCAGAAGAGCCCCAAAATGTTGAGCCTGAGCAGCTGACTAATCTACGTAACTGCAAATTTGACCATTCCTAAATTTCAAACCATCCAAAAAGCGCCGTGACTTGCGTCAGCAGTTGAATCGAGTTTAAAATCCTCTAGTTAAAGAAAAAAGTATATCAAAAAGACGCACTTGAATAGAAAGATTTCTGAAACTTCTTAACCTCTGAAAATTACAGAGAGGTCTTCCTCCAAAAATACGGCAATTGACATCACCTAACCCAATTTCATATATTAGGGCTTCCCTCGCCTTTACCATATGATTGATGAATGAAGGAGCCAAAAGCCATGGTATGCCTAACCACGGGAGATGACAACATCATTTGTGTTTTGAAGGGTATTATAAGCAGTTCTCATTTTGAGTTATATCACGCACGAACACTTGGATTTTTAAACCTCCTACCCTCGCCCCTCCTAACGCAATGCGCACAGGTCTGAACCTCTACCGAAATATTACATCAAACTTTAATATAAGCCCTTTCCCTTCTGCAGTTACCGAAAAACGGGGGAAAATTGATATTTTTTGCCAATATTTTTATCGAATTCATCGAGAATACCCACAAAAATTTGCGCTCCGCACCAATTTTTGCGTGACGTTACGCAGTGCTTCCCCACACGCATCTGCCACGCTAGACCAGACTCTTAACCTCTCCGTAATTATCACGTAATTTTTGAACGACTTCGTAACTTCTTTTTGGCGTTCCACCGAGTATGGTCAAAAATCATGTTTGTTTTATATGTATGTTTCCACACCAACATTTTACGTAAAACCTTGTGGACGTAATGAACATTTTCAGATTCTATTCTCTTTGACCAGTTTAACAATATTGCTTTGGTTTTTTTTTTTTTTTTTTTTTTTTTTTTACAGAAGTAAACACTTTCAGTCTAGTAACCATAAATTATGATATGCACCGTAAATTCCACGACCAGGAGGAGATTTTGGGAATTTTACATGCACTGGACACGTTTTTGTGAACGTTTAATCAGGAAGGTTGTCCTATTGCTGCGCGCGTGCTATGGAAAAATGCCGCTCGAGCATTCACATTTTACCACATTTCAAGCTATAAAATATGCGTTTTCTAGGAATGCAATGAGTATAATTTCTTGACATTTTTGGATCACACTGGAATGAAAACACATTGGATGTTGAGTCCAGGCTCTTAAAAACATCGACAAGAAAAAATACTTTTGATTCAATCGGATTTTTGCTTAAATCGAGAACCAAGTCTCTTAATTTGGGCGGATTTCCTTTGGATTTGAGCAAAAATCTGATTGAATCAAGAGTATTTTTTCTTGTCAATATTTTCAAGAGTCTGGACTCTAGATCAAATGTGTATTTTTCTTCCAGTGCAAATTGCAAATACAGTTCTGTGAAAAATAGGAAGAAAAATCTTCATAGGTTTGTAGACATTATTGCTGCGTCCGATGGTTCATCGGGGACATTCTTCCTTTGCACGGATCGGTTGAGTTCATTCATTTTGAAGGCTCCGTTGCGATTGGATGGATCGAATCATTTTTTGCGAATATGCAAGCTTCGACCATCGAAAATCCACATTTCGTCGTTTCATAAACAAAAGAACCTAACTAAATTCCAAGGTTGCAAAATTGAATCAAATAACTTAATATTTTACGAGAATGTAGCTGTGCAATTTTTGTACAAAATTATCTAATTTTTTTATGAATTTTAGGAAGAGAATCAGTCAATGTTCTAGTTTGAAATGCCCAAAGATTCTCCTAGTGAAAATTCAATTTCCCTGTGGAATTCGACAACGTTGAAGCGCAGTTAAACGATTCTTTACTACGTAGTGAAATTTGCTCCTGGGGCAGATCGGCAACCGAGGCAAAATGCGAAGAGAAGGAACGCGCCAAAAGTGAGTAAGAAGAAGCAAGTTGCTCCGGAACACCAGTAGCCGGTAGCACACACCAGGACTGAATCGGTGCATTCATGAGATCTCGCGATAAAAGCTCACATAATAAAGAAGCATTGCTCCAATTCTATCCGTCTGGTTAGGCAACTCGGACTTATGTCCAAATTATTTTATGTCCGTGAAAAACACTTAACCGTACCGGTTGTGCGCCTGTCGGTTGCGTGCAAACATCCGATGAACGCGCCGGCGTTTTCGGACCAGCAACGAAGGATGACAGAGGATGCTGAATTGCTGACTGCATGGAATTCCGGTCGGGTTTTTAAGTTTGACGGTTCGTTATCAGCCAGAATGTCCGCATTTGCTAGTTAGGCCTGTTTACTTGTTCTAAATACGCAAACCTATCCAATAGTCGATGACATTTCCAGAGACTTTAACGCACGGTAGAAAAGTTAGATGGGGCGATACACTTGATACAACTATTTAAACTTTCAAGAGGGTAAGATTGCATATCCACAAAAATGAAGGAGAACACGTGGTCTCTTTTTGCAAGACTATTAACTTTAATAAGGAGGAGAAAAGTTAGATGAGGCAAAAACACACTACGAAACTATTCTCAAAAGATGATATCCTATCATTGAAAAGTCGATATTCATAAAATTTTAAGGAGACTAAAGATGAACGGAGCTATAAGACGTCTTTGAGATATCTTTTATGATAAATAAACTTCTACACTTGTATTTTGGTGAAAACAAAATAAATGTAACAAAAACCAATACGCACTTGCTCAAAACTCTAAAGAGGCAGTCGGCTCTCCAGTCTTCACAAATCTCAAACTATTGCTCTTTTTGTCATACTTCACAATACTACTTTTTGGCGCGTATACGTAGTATACCGCCTTTGCGATCGTTTCGACCCCCCACTCGATACAATAACCGAGTCCCTTAGTTCCTTACCGAAAAGTGACTACCGCGAACTTCTGAGATTTTCCAAAGCGTGTAAAAAGTTTATTTATCCGTCAATAATTATGATTTAAAGTTGTTTCTCATTCTGGGGCTCGCTAGTTTATGTGTAATGAATACCAAGAGTCTACGTTACTTGGTTTTTCTTGAAAAAACCTTAGAATGCGACGCGCTGATTTAAAATATGCATATATAAGCAGAAGCAAGCGAACTGATTCGAGGATGGCTGATCAGGTCGGCACTCGTTGAATGAGAATTTCACTTCTTCGTTTTGTTTAAAACGTTGCTTTGACAGATCTCCATACCCCTGTTATCCTTTTCAAAATTTGGTACTCCTTGCTCTGATAGCCAGGGCCAGCAGGATAGTGGTAAGTGCAATCTGTGATGAGCCTCGAGACTCATTAGCCCATGTGCTAACCGTGGCCCATACAGAAATTCACTCCCCTATCAGGCCAAAACAGTGCATAGGCAGGCACAAAACCCAGGTAGTGTCCCGGTCCTGGCTCGGTTCGCCGCGTCGCTTCCCAGCTGAAGAACAAAAGGCGACCCTCGCGGCCCTCGCCACAGTCAGACCTAATTACTTTCACTCGATTAGACATTTCACCGTCACGCTGGGATCCATCAAATTTTCGAAAAAATTGTTTCGCGAGTACTTAGCAATTTTTTCCTTACTCTCCATTCAAAGACGAATTGAAAGAGGTCTCATTCATAAAAATCGGCCGAATAGAAGAGAAGTTACAGTATTCGAAATCCGAAGAAATCAACGAAACTTCTCCATACAAAAAATAAAATGAAGGGGAAA